CATAGATTCCATTTCAATATTTTCATGACATTTATTATCTCCATTTCTAAAATTTATCAAATGATTTTGTTAAACTTTTTCATAAATAATTTAATTTTATAAAAGAATACACAATAAAGTAGAAAATGGTTAAAATCAATGAATTGATTTTATTCTTAAGAAATCAAAAAGTAGTAATTAATTCTTGACGTGTAAATACAATATCCTCCTTCACTTTTTAATATGGTTAAATTTAAAATACTATATATATATATATAAGAAAATACATCCCACGTGGTTCCACTCACGGAAATCAATAATAATAATAAAAGAAAGAAACTAAAATTAAAATTTTTTTAGATATATAGCAAAAATACTTCAAGTTCTAATATATGGTTAATTTGATGTAAATATAAGTTTTTATAAGTTTTATGCAAATAAACAGTATTTTAAGCGATAATTTATTTATGAAAAAATAATAAAAATAATTTTATTTTTATTTTGCAAACTGACTAACAAGTTAATGTTTTATTTTATTACTCAAATTGGAAAATAAAAAAATTATTTTTTTATTTCGTTTTTAAAAATTAACTAAAAAAAACACATAACATTTTCTTTTTCTCAAAATAAAAAATTTTCTTTATATTAATTAATAAATAATGATAAAAATATGAGAATAAAAGTACAATAATAATAAACTGTTCTCTATTAACTTATTCTTTATTACTAATTTACTTTCTTTTGTACTAACATTCTCATTGAGGAGAATCTACAACTATTTGTAAATTGTAAAGAGGCAGAGTACAAGTTAGTGGTAACATAAGTGCCACGTTAATTGGCGCATTTCCAATATGTGTTCCTACAGCATCCAAATCACCATTATGACCAAATGCAAAATATGTACCACCAAAATCATCACTCTGGGGTGCTGTACCTGAAAAACTTATTACATCTTAGATTTGATAAAGCCTCACCAGTTTCTACATCTCTAATATAATATTTTTATTAATTTACTTGAACTTATTTGCAAAATAAAGAATACAAAATCACATTGATGTGATGATTCCCTGAGGTATGATTTACGTGGACATATTTGAATCTTTGATTAGCTAACAAAAAAAAAAGATGATAAATAAAAATTTATTCATAGTATTAATAAATTGATTATGTAACAACATTAACTACAACGAAAATAATAATAATTACATAAGATCTAATATGCGATCCCAGGCATTTTCAAGTAATTCTGAATGCATTCTTTCTTTGCTTTATTTCTAAAATGGGTCATAACATATAATTAGCTTTTTAGTAAATTTATATCTTTGAGTGAAAATTATGTTATTAATTATTGCTTTAAATTTTTAAGTTTCATCATAAAAACCTATTTCTGAGCATTTCCTCGCGATCATCCATTTTGACACTGGATAAAGACTATTTCTTTGTTATTCATAAAATAGCTTAACTTTCAAATATAATTAATACATTACTATACATTAAAAAATTTTCTATTTCTAAATTTTTAATTACATCCAGGATCACCGGAACAGAGAAGTTTCAATCTTGTGATCGGAATTCTAAATATTTATTGCTTCACGAGTCATCAAGTCAATTCTTCAACAGATGGAGGAATCATCACTAAAGCAAATAATATACTGGGTTTAGCACCCTGATTTACGTTAATAAATAAAAAATATGTTTGCTTTACATGCAAGTAATAAGGTTATTTGAAATGACTAATACGAAGTTGATGGAGAAATACTATCTACGCTAATTTTTTTTTTCACAATATTCCTTTTATTTTCTGGTTCATCTTCAATTACTTTATCTTTTAATAATCCAATGATTATGCTTAAAATCTTTTCACACTCTTGCATAAAGTATCATATCTCTGAGTTCTTATCCCAAGCTTCTTTGAGATATTCAATAATAAATGGTGGTATATTTCTTAGCGAAATCTTTCCTGGGTATTGAAGCAAAAAATACCATTCATTAAATTGAACATGATTTACTAAACTTCATCTTTTCTTTTTATTACATGAGATATAGTTACATACCAGAAGTGATGATACCATAAAGATAGTTACCCATTTTCGCTTTTTTTTTTATTAGCATCATGATTTATCTATCTTCTGTAATACATATGAGATTCTCGGATTCCATTATTGCATAATCAATTGATCCATAGTATTTTTTTGCTGTCGACTTCAAATTCGACCTCCATTTTGAAAATCTTACCTGAGTCACTCATCTTCGGCGATCTGAAGTGCTGTGTGAAGGATCATCGATGCAGTTTTGAAAATATTTATCTTCAACTTGAATTAAATGGATTTGTGTTTCAATTTGAATAGTCATCAGAGTCAATGTCATATTCTAATAAGACTTCTTTTAAAGATCCAATTCTTTTTTCGTTCACTACATTCTTATTCCTTAACAAAGCCAACAAGTCGTGTTAAAGGTCCAGAGTGCAGTTTCAAACCACGAAGCTTTTCTTCAGTTATCTTTGAGAAATCTTTACCAGTAATTTCTTCTTTTTCTAAAATTTCAAGAACGGTCTACAGTTTGCAAATAGGCGATGAGTTCATTCGTTCCATATTTTTGAATCTCTTCAAAAGTTGAGGTTTTAGTTATCTCGAACATGGCTGGCTGTAGATTTGGTAATAACCAGTTTTTTGATTTTCTGAATAACCGTATGTAGTTGATAAACGTAAAAAAAAAAAAAAATTTTTTAAAAAAAATATTTTTAATTTCATAAATACAAGCTGCTATATAAAAATAATTCAATCGAAATTAGAGAAGTGCAATAATTATAATTTTATTATTTTAAATAAATTTAATGTAAAAAAAACACTTTTTTTTTTTTGAAATAAATAATATATAAAATAAGAATCATGCTAATACATAATAATAATATTATTATTATTATTATTAACTCAAATTAGAATTTAGGATTGGAGATATTGTGAATCTTGTATATATAATCACACCAATTAATTATTTTTACGCAATTTGGGAGTTATTATCTTATCATCAATTGTTATAATTGAAGTATTAACAAAATTTGAATCTAAAAATTGAGTAATATTCGTAGTAGAATTAAAATCATTTTTGTTCTCACGTTAAAATTAGTGCTAAAGTCATGTGGGTTATTTGGATTATTTTCAATATATAGGGTTTTCTTATTTGTCACTCTAACCTTATTTCCCTAACAGTCATCGTAAGGAGAAGGATTACTAATGCGAAGATCTTGGTGATATTCGATGAGGCCTAATAATTTTTGGAAGCGATATTAACAAAAATAATTTGCCAAACTTTTCTTCCAGTTGAAAATTTTTTGTGAGATCGTACAAAATTGTAATACTTTTGAAGAAGTTGGTCTGTTAGGTTCCATGAATTTAATATTATATTTCCCTTCAATTTAAAAAATTATCGTAAGTCCATTCATCAAGATTAATTGATAAAGTAGGATTTCAGCTTCCCCATTTAATTGACATTCCCAATTTGCCTTCTCGCTTAAAATAGAAATTAATTTATCTTAATGTAAATTATTAGAATTATTCTTTTAAGCTCAATTAATACAATCAATTCTACCAGAACTTGAATAATACATCTACTTAAAATCTACATCTTCATTCTTTAGAAAAGGTAAAATTTGATTAACATTAGACATTAAGTAAAAATAATTATAAAGTAAAGTAATTACATACATTAATTTCATTCATTTTGTCATAAATTTCAATCCATTTAAAGTCTACCATAATGTTTTCAAAATTTAGCAGTCATTGATGGGTCATTTCACAAATCTTCTGATTTTTATTAAAAAAAAAATCTGGTTTCTTTAAAATTTCTCTTCTTATTGAACTCTCATCTTAACTACAGATAATGGGTCAAGATTTTTATATATATATAATTTTTTCATTTGATTTTTTTGTACCACATATTTATTTATTATAACATGATCATGTAGATCATTAGGTTTTAATTTGCCTCTGGTTACAATCATAACCTGAATTTATAATATGGAAACTAAAGCTATTAAAAAGTTTGGAACTTGGTCTAGCGGGAATGCTGACATTGATAAGATTATCCAAGAATCTCAGATAAATAATCCTGCATATAATCTACGGTGGATGCCTTATGATAATTTTCATGACACCAAACACATAGATGATAATAAATATTACACTTTGCATTCGGCTAAATTGTTAGACAAACGGGGTTGTGAATATGAACATTATGGTGTTGTTACTTTAAAGGAATTAAAAGATTATAGATATGATATTTTGGAATTTTTTAAAATGGTATATTCCTATTCCTTTATACTTAAATTGTTATAAACAATTGTAAACAATATAAATTTTTATTCTGAAAAAAATTTTGAGCATTATTTGTTTACGCATTTTTTTTTTATTATTATATTTCAGATTAAGAAAGTGATTGACGACGATAGTTTATGCTTCATTAAATTTTTTGGAATTTCAAAAAATCCTTCTACGCAAAACTACATTATTGTTATGGAATCACACGATGGTATCTTTCATAGTTATTTATCTGATATCTTTCTAAATATTATGTGGTGTTCAAAAATAGAGATGCTACATCAAGTGATAGATGGTCTTAAAACTTTACATGAAAATAACTTAGTTCATTGTGATTTAAATAGTAGAAATATTCCGATGAAACATCTTGACCCATTTTCACGTAAATTATTTGCAGCGATGGACCCAGGTTTATGTAAATTATCTAATGATTTACCTTTAAACTCTGATAACAAAAACAATTATGTTTATGGTTCAATTCCATATATTCCACTGGAAGTATTAAGAGGAAATGAATTTACAAAGGAGGGTGATATCTATAGCTTTGGTGGAATTATGTATGAAATGACGATTGGAAACCAACCATTTGCTGACCGAGAACACGATAATTACTTGATGATTGATAAATGTAATGGTGTAAGACCAAAGGTCTCTGATATGATGTTAAATTTGATTCCAAAATGTTATTTAGACAAGATGTATCAATGCTGGGATGATGATCCTTCTAAACGACCAACTGTTCGTGAATTAATTAATACAATATGTTTTTGGAAAAGGATAAACAATTCGGAAGAATTTTTCAATGCTGATCTAAAAAGAAACGGAATGAATAAATCTCATAAACAAAAATTACTTCGATCTTTATATAAATTTCATCCTGAATCATGTTATGTTAGTAGAAACATTTATACTCTTTTTGAATTGCAAGATTCATTAGAAGATATAAAATCAGGAAAATGTTCAGATATTATTTTTAGTATATATAATTTAAATTGTATCGTATGATTTTAATAAATAATTAATCGTAAATTTTACATTTATAGATCCTAATTTATGTTTAAAACCAATCACATAATCGAAGGCTAAGTGATACAAAAGCATTTAAAGAAATGAATTTCTCCGGTTTTAATTCAAGAATTTAATATTCTTTTTTTTTTATTTTCTTATTGTTTTTCCTGGGATTCATTTTTTGTTAATAAAAGATTTTTAATGTAATAAGTTTAATAATTAATTAATATAATAATTTCCAATTGGTATTAAAAATTATGACATAACAAGAGATTTATATATTAATTGGTTTAAGTGGTTATAAAATATCATGTGATAAAAAAATAGAAAAATAAATCAATAATAATAAAAATGAACGATTATAAAAAATTTATTGACAATTTTATTTTATTAAGTTTATATCGTGAGAGATCGGCACTAAATTATTATTCTGTAAATCATTTTTAATGTTTGTGAAAAATTGCAAAATTAGTACCAATTTATGATTTGACAAAAAAACTTGCCGAAAAAATATTTTTTTTTTGTAGTAGATACATATATAAAATGTAAACAGTAGTGCTGTTCTTTCGCGGATCACATGTATTACTTGTAGCTGTAAATAAAAAATCAGAGAACAAATTAATGCTATATAATATTTATATTATTTTTTCAAGATTACACAATATATTATACATTATTATTGAAAATCTACATATTGTACATGCCTTAGGGTTTCTGGAAAGTTAGATCATAGTTTGCTTATGTTACTCTAATATATACATCTTAATGAGGATCACTGGAAGGAAAGATATGATATTTTCATTAAATCAATCTAATTCCTTTTGATGAGGTCAAACTAAACACATGTCAAATTTTGCTGATTTCATCAATACACAAGCTATAAATTGCTAAAGTCCAACTAATGGTTGTTGAGGTAACTTCTAAAATCACGACTATAATATTATATTGACAACTTATAAAGATGCATTTCTAAGACTTCAAAACACTGTGAACAATAAACTTCAGAAAAATTTTTGAAAACCTTCACTGAAAAAAATTGTCAGATGCAATATTTTCAAAAAATGAAGTAATTCATTTACTCTTGCTTTAGAATATCTTGAAATTTGGAGTATTTCAATAGTTATCATGGCTACTAGACTAGAGAGGCTAGAGTCAAATATCAACTTTTTTATTAAAACAAAATATAATTTTTTTGAAAATTAAAAAAAATTATCAATGTTAATGAATAAATAAATAATGCAAATTTAATATAACAAGTTTTCTAATCCAAATCCAAATAAAGAAAATTACACATAATGAATCCGTCAATCAAAATATTAACATATATTTTATCGCCCTCTCACAAATGAACATAATGTATATTCTATTAATGTATTACTTCTTGAAAACTACTTCTTTTTGTTAAATCATTTCTTTTCATTATTTTTTTTCATTTTCTTCTTTGACATCAACCGAATGTGATATTGATTCATCTGAAGTGGAACTTCTTTCAGTAGCTGGTGTCTGAAGTTGATGAAGACTTTCAAAATCATCTTGATTCTGTGAACTGTCGCATTTCAAAATTCCGGGTCGACAGGTATTTATTGCTTGAAATAATCTACCAATAATATTTATCAACAAGCTAAGACACGAAGAAACGAGTGAAAGAAGAGGAATTATATCATATGTAACCACCCTAAAATAGTATATTAACTAAAAGTATTAAAAATTCTTACAATTAGAAACCAGATCAGAATATTTTTTTTTGGCATAAATAGAAGTTGAAGACTGACCTGAATGATTACTTGCGGTATATCTTCAACAAAAATGGCTAAACAAGAAGCCCAAAAGATTCTATTTTTTCCCTTAGTTGAAAATGGAGCTTGGAAAAATTTAAATCCGGCCATATTTGAATGGAGAATACTTAATGTTTCAATGTCAGCACTTGATAAAACTGTAAATACTGATGCCACCTTTTCATTTTGAGAGAACCAATCCAAGAAAGCTTTAGATTTGTTTTCATAACTGATAATATAAAATGCCCAAATAGTGTTCATACCGATTGGAATAGTCAGGAATATGACACTATTTATATATAAGTTTTTAATAAATGAATGAAGTATGTATAAATATGCAGATAATATATATTAATTGATAAATTTACCTTGGAATATATAGTACTTCAATAACTTTACCGTTCTTACTGACAAAAAGGACATCCATTGCAAAATCAAAAATAATTAATCCAAGTTGTAAAATAGCAATATTATGACCCTTTAAAAGAATTTCAATAATGTAAATACACACTAATTTCCATTTCTATAATATTAAAACAAATGAGATGTCCTTTTTTACCTTGCTTTCTATTTTTTTTGCTATTAAAAAAAGAACCACTAAAATTGCAAGTACCAACATAACACCCAAAAATTTCCACTTGTATTTACCCCATAAGGCGGCTAATGAAAAAGAAACATTTTAAGAGTGATTAGTAATGTCAGACATTATGTTAAATAAGTTAAAATTTCAATATATACTCACGCGTTGGTTTAAATCCAAAATCTCCATCTAAATACTTTGTGGTAGGAAATAAATCAATGGAAGTCATGTTTTTATATGTAATCATATCATTTAAATCATTTAAAATAGAGTCTGCACTTCTTTCTTCTTTGGATGATTCAATATTAAGTGAAATGAGTATCTTTCGACCAGAATTAATAGTGGTATCAACTTGGGTTTTTTCCCCATTTGAACTTAGTCGTTTAATGTTGACAGGAATAATTTCAGATAATTCAAGACGTAGATCTGTAAAGAATTTATCTTTTCCAGTTGAATTAAGATTTTCGTAGTATTCAGTGCCTTCTTTGGTTAAACGCAGCACTCCATATATTTTGTCTATTGTAGAAATTTTCAATCAATTTTGAGTGATTTCATATTAAACACACATAATGGTAATTACATTGAAATTTACCTGCAAAAGTTTCTTCCCTTGAACCTAAAAACCGTCAGAATATAAAGAGAAAGATATTTAGTATTTAAGTTAATAACATATAATAAAAAAATATCATTTACATACTTGTATTGAATTTCCAAATATTATCATATATGCCCCTTAAGGATTCCCTGTATGCTTTGCTTCTTACAAAATCATTGTCAACTTTAATGTAAAATTGGCTATTAGGATTACTAAAGGTACTTTTGAGAACATTTACAGTTACAGTTAATCCATTATCAGAGATGGAACAAAAGCTATTGACACCATTAACAAATTGTCGAATAATGGTGTTGCCATTTTTATCAATTTGGTAGATCGAAATATTCCCGTAAAAGCGTTCTACTGGTTCATAATATGTGATTGTAATATTACTCCTATCTGTTGAAGTTGGAATAGTAGCATTTATTGAGGGACTTGTAGATTTTACTTGAAAATTTGAATAAACATTGTCTAAATCTATGAATTTAGGAATATCAGTGGTATT